CATTAGCAGTGTGAATAACATTTGAATTATACTACCAATAGCAACTTTAATGGTTGGAGATAGTCGTTCTGAGTTTCGCAGAATTATTATTTTATTGTTAAATTAACATTAACACTTAGTACCTATATATTAAAAATGAAATACAATTATTTTTTAATTTTTATAAATCATATACAGATTTCTACAATTAGGTTTAGAAAAATATAAAAAAAAACTACGAAAAAAAGTTCCTTTATTTCTTTTTCGGAAATATAAAGATAAGGGTTTCGTGCTATCCAGTTTTGCCTACATAAGGCAGACACACTTTTTTGTAGGTTTTCTGACCTATTTCACTGGTTAAAACTGTTTATTATACCCCATCATCGTATCAATGACTTTTAGAGCATAGCGTTTAAATTTCGTCAAAAATGTAAATAAGTTCCCGTAACTAATAATACGCGTTTTAAACAGTTAAAAGTGTCGCAATGTGTACTAGACAAAAAAAACTACAGACAATAGAATGCGTTTAATCTTTAATCCATGTATAAACAAAACAACAAAGAAACACAAACGACAGGGAAATGATAAACGTACGTTGGGGCGAAATTAGGATTTTTTTCAAATACCTAAACAATATAAGTATGTGGTTTCAGATATAAGTTTGAAAGAAAGAATGAAAGAAAAAATGGTTTATTGCCATAAAAAAAAATATAAATAGTACTTAAAGATACATTTATAATTAATTTTGTGGTAACTGGGAATTCAGACTCAGCTAAATGCTGCTCGAAGGAAATCGCATGGTATCACTTGATGGTAGGTGAAATACCCCCCTAAGGGCCCTTATAGCATCTACACAAGATACGCTGTCTACTAGTTTTGGCTTTGGAATTTCTAACAAAAGAATCCCTCTACCCCCCTCCCCCCTCTGCGATAAAAAGTGGCGTGCAGCGAAATAAAGTGATTAGCTGGGCGATAGTCCGCGAAAGCTCCCACCAAAAGGAGCAAAGGATCGAAAAGCGATACCAGCTAATCCCACTAATCGTTGGGCAATTGAAAAATAAAAATGTAGATGGCGGAATGATTCCATTTGGCGCCAAAACGATGCGACAAAATAATAAAAAACGTAGGAGCGGAACGGAATGGGCTCGCCCCCGGCGGCCGACGGCTAATATTGAAAGCAAAGCCTCGGCTAAATCCTTAAAGCGCTCGGATTGAAGCACCTGGAAACTGTGTGTTTGCAGCCCGTACCTTGATAATCATTTGCCGGATTACGTATACTTTGCGCTTAAGGTCAGCGCGCTTCGCGAATCAATTGATTACGATTTATTGGTGGGTCGTCGCGGGTTCTGGGTATTAAATTCGGTATACATCTCTTTGGTGATTACAGATTTAATTACAATTATATTAGCTCTTTGATTATCCGTTAAAAATAAGTTAAGCTCGAGAGAAAAGCTGAAAAGATGTTGTTCTATCTAAAAAACGATACCGATTAGTTGACACTAAAAATTAAAAAGAAGTAATGTTTTTTGTTGCATATATTCCAATTTTTTGTATCGAATAGTTTGGATGATAATTATTACAATCACAGCATTTTTTAACTACCCATTGAATTTAATTAAAATTCGATTATAAATTCAATTAATTTTAAATTAATTAAAAATAATTAAAATTAGCAACACGGCATTCACAGAGGTCCGTGCTGTTGGTCTAACCAATTGAGCTAAGGTGTCCACCTGTACCTACTGACTTACTTCAGAAGACTTCTTAACATTCTCAAGAACGACGCTTAACCCCATACATGAGTATTTTTTTTTGCACTTTTTTGTTTTATACATATCACTTAATATATATATATATATATATATATATATATATATATACGACATGTTACAAACCTTAAGATAGCTGTAAGGAATACAATAATATAGTATTTAATATTGTGCGTTGTTTACGTGAAATATATAGAATAAAAAATTGATTTTATCCATCAAGTAGTAGAAGTGGCTGCAGAAGAAAAGATGGCTGTTGAAGCCGACACGAACATTCGTGTCGTCTACATAGATCACGATTAGACAAACGCAATGTATGATCAGATCCAAAAAATGTAATTTAAAAGAGTAGCATGTTGGAGAGGCCTACGTCCACCAGTAGACGTATAAGGGCTTTTATATAATAAAAGACACTAGATGAAGGAACTGTTTTTTTATTGATTCAATTTTACTTACAACTCAAGTTATCCTACAGCTGCCAGTCCTGTTCGTATTGCTATAAAATAGTGCTGAATTTCCATTTCAATTTTATGCACTTCGCTGCATCGTATTTTATTGTCGCGAGCGCCATTTTTTCCTTCGTATTTAAGTTGAGTTGAGTTTCTGCGATACATTGGCGAAAAGAAATGAATGATATAATTACTCTGTTATAAGCATTTTAATTATAATATGCTCAATATTATTTCACAGATTATAATTACAAGTTTCTGAAATGACGTCACGGATCGTAAAATATGGCTACGTACAGAACATTATTAAAATATTGTACCGTTTATTTTAATAATGTAAGTCTTTTAAATTATTTTGTAAAATTTGTATTCTACTATGCCATTATTGTAAATGGCGTAAAAATTATTATATTTTGTTAATGGCACTTTCAGCTGTATGTCAGTTGAATAAATCTAATAAAATTTATTAAAATAAGAAACTCACGCGCGCTAGTTCCCCGACCTCAAGTGACCTCAAGTGACAAGGGCGAATAATTTTGACAGCTGGAGATTTCATGTCAAAAAGCATAGACTATATGAACAGTTGGTTTCAAGGGAAACGAAACTTACATTTAAACCCTCTACTTAAAGAAAAGCAACGATATTTACAACTGTCATTAACTACCTTAGGAAAACAATTAACTACTAGAACTGACTTTTATATCGTAATGTTGTTTGGCATATCTTTAAAGCAATTTTCTATAATAAGAATCCTTAATAAATGACTAATTTTATGATAACATTCTACTATTTTAACGTAAGTGTGTGAAAGCCCGTTTCCCCCTCGTGAGGCATGGGGGCGAACACATTTCTGTGTGCGTTTTACTGATCCGTTCTTTTAAGGGGCAAATAGTTGAACAAACTTCTGTGCCCTGCCCGACCGAAACAATTTTATGTTTCCCTGGGATTCGAACCCAGGACCTCTCGCACTTAACGCAATGCCAGGCAATACGTTTAACCATTTGACTACAAAGGTGTTAACGTAAGTGGTTATAAATAAAAAGCATGAATTCAATAATTATTTTTTATTATGACTAGAGGTTTAACTTACAAAACAATTAGCGTTTCGTTGGATACAATTACAAAATAATCGGGAACAGTCGCTTATTCTGTTTGATATGTATAAAATGAAAACTTTGGATTGAAAATTGGTACAATACTTCGATAATTATATACAATCATATATTACATTGGTTTTCATTACTATTAGGCACACATCTGTGGATAACTAATTACAAACTAATTATACTGTTCTCTAGTAAACCGCTATAAATACAATGTATGTACAATTCAAATAAAATTGTTATAATAAATATTAACTCGTAGGAGTAATGAGATCCAGGTTACGCTAATCTCATTCAGAGGTGTTCCTCTTTATAACAATTTTCGTAATATTAAACTTTCGATCTGTTTTACGGGAAAGGGATAAACGTATGCACTCAATAAACCATACGCCCATGTTTAGTTAAAGTCTAAATCAATAAAAAAAAAAACAATAATAGTAATGTTTAATAGTATCGATGGAAAGGTTTTTAAATACTGTCTGTAGTTTAGGCAAGTAGTACACATTTAAATAAAACACTTTAACGATTTAAAACGCGATATATATTAGATTAATTTTATTTGAAAATTAATTTTAACTTCGGCCCGACGTTTCGGATGCTTTGCAGCAGCCGTGATTTCGGGGAGACTGGGAAAAAGCTCGGGCCGAAGTAAAAATAATTTTCAAATAAGTTTAACTAATATATCGCGCTTTAAGCCGTTAAAGTGTTTTTATTAAATGTTTGTTTTTATTAAATTTTATCAACAGACATTGAAAAAGGCTGCTAACAAATGCAAGAAGATTATGTTTCACTATATTTATACTATAATATACAGCAATATACATTTAAATGCTTGATTATTTATAAAACGAAAGTACAAATAAATAACCTAATTACAAAATATTTACAGTTATTGTGATACAGTAAAATATCGAATATAGTAAATCTACATAAGCTTAAAAAATTGCACACTTCACTTTGGTATACGTAAGTACATAGCTACATATTTACAAAACACCATGTATAACGAATCGTTAAGTTTATTGCCTGAAGTTTCATAGTTTTTTTTAATAGATTTACAGTCCCTATGGGAGTGGTTTGTGTTGTTTTTCGAATCACAGTTATCTATATTACATTTTTATTTTAAATCTATATATATTTTAATAGTAATAGTCATTTTCGAAAGATTTGCAACCAACATATTACCGCACGTAAAACTTAATGTGACGAGATACTGTCGTATAATACGAAATGTATTATTATTTAGGAAAGAAATAAAGTGATTTATTTAGTCCTTATTACACAAACAAGAGTGAAGTTTAGTTTGATATGTTTTATCTTTAAAGTTCACTGAATTGTAGCCTACGAACTGTACTTTCATAGTTGGTAATATATTTATCAAATACTGTCTCTAGTTTACGTAGGAATATATTAGCGATGGACAGACGCCCGTGAGCACGGCTGCAAAGAATAAAAATTTGTAAATAAGTTTACTTATATGTCTCGCATTTTAAACCGTTAAAGAGTTTATTCAAATATATTCATCAATTTACGCGATGATACTGTGACGCAAAGCAAATCTAATCGAACCAGTCCCATAGGTGGCAGTAAAGCCCATGCGCGGCGTTTGATTGCGCGCGCGGTGGCGGACACTAGGATGCGCGCGCGACAGCCAGCAACGGCGCGGGCGAGCGCGACTCCTCGCGGCCGCGGGCCTCCTCTCAGAGCACACGGTCCGCTACCCCGCCCGCCGCGTACTGACAAGCGGAAAGCGGAGCGGATCCGGCCCGGGACACCGGCGACACTGTTCCGTAACCGCTGCTGAAACTCGAGGAATGCTGCTTCGCTTTCAGACGCAGCGACGCAATTGACGACGACATCGCGGGACAAGGTTCGGCACGATACATGCTGTAGGGGTTTGGTGGAGCCGTGTAAGGGCACGGCGCAACCCCGCCACCCACGCTCGCCGAGCCAGCTACGGCCATCGAACTACCACCCACTCCGCCCATAGATGTCGCTGTGTTGAAGCAATTTACCGAACCCTGATGATGACTCGCCGGTACCACCGAGCCCAGAGGATTCACGGGCCACGGGAAGCTTTTAGTGCCCAACGGACTGGGGACCTTCGCCGCCCAATTGTTGTAAGGATATGACGAGTACAAAGCGTCCGTATCGGGGAATGGTTGCATCAGCCCGTTAAATTGCGTGCTAAAACCGTTCTTGAAATCCGCTGCAGCCGCTGCCGCTGCGTTCATTGCGTTCCTCTCACGCTTCCGCCACTTCGCTCTCCGGTTCTTGAACCACACCTGAAACAATAGAAATTTCGTTAACGTCTAAAGTTCGCTTGGGGAAAAGTTTAACCGGTCGGAGTCGCCGCAGTGCCCGGGTTATTAACTTTGCTCATTACGAAGTTGACAGAGCGAAGCGGGGTATTCGAGCCACGTAATAGCGGAGGCGTCGGCCCCGCCCGCAGCCGACGACCCGTCTAATTGCGACCGCGGAATGAAGATAAACGAGCGACGCGATTGGACGCAGCGTCTCCGTGCGAAGCCGCAACAAACGATCGGCTCGCACCGCGGGTCTCCGATGTTGTTATTTAGAAGGCTAGAAGCGGAGTGACGCCGATAAGTCGTGAGCACAGATAACGCCGGCGCTGATGTACGGCCGTCCGTCACAGCGATCGATCGCCCGACGACACCTCCGCGATAAATTGCGCAATCCACGTAGCGACTGCCATAAATATTGCGCCGGCGGTATTTGTCTCACTCACTGTGGCGTGTTCACCCAGCCGAAACGGTAAATAATACCCTCTTTCCTCGGTTAAGTGAACATAAACGCTCGTTTCCACCCCATATACGCACGTTTATTTTTCGAAACATAAATTTTGCGAATTCGTGGACGATTACGGCAGGTGAGACGGCTAATTTCACTTAAGTTATTCCGTAGTTTATCGGTAGATGCGGTTTCAAATTGTCAACATCCGGCCACCGCGGATGATCGGGTGAAAATAGCTCCACAGAAGGGTGTTCAATAATGACAACAGAATGATATTTATTTAGGTGCACATATGTGGAAATAATTTCCATTATTTGAATAGCGGACAGCGCAGCGGGGTGTAGAGGCCCGGCCCGGAGGGTCGCGATATTGCGACGCGGCTAATCCTTTAAATATATTATTGTAGGACGCCGTACCCGACCTCCGTCAAGCGGAGGGAGAGACGCGATCATTTTTGTTTAACCGTAATCAATACTAATGTTTGCTTTTTAATTATGCGACAATGCTCTTGAATAAAAAAACCGATATATTTTATTTTCTTTCATTTTATGTAATTATTCTTATTTTGTGTTATGTGTAGGCATGTCTATGGTATACTGTGCATTAATAACATCATTTAAATGTGTATATGATTATAGTATATCTGAAACTCGGCTTTATGCTTACTTCTAGGTACAACAAAAGCTGACTGGTGTCCCTCAATGAACATCCAATTTATAAGTATTGTATTTGTGATTTGGAATAAATTGTTTTATTTGAAAATGACTCACATTACGGTAGATATATACCATCCCGTTTAATATAGAAATAAAGTTCCAAAACTACATGAATTAGAGGCTTTAACTGACCCAATGCTACGGTGCTACGGGGCTACGAAATCTTTCTTAAAAGCTTTTGTAGCTTCGTAGCGTCCGTTATATATACTTATTTTTTCAAAAAATACAATTCGTTTATACGTCTTCTATCAATATCTAGCCTGTATAATCTAGATTGTATAAATATAACAAACAAAATTTATTAAGTATTCATCAACTATAATAGACTTTCAAATGTTAAGCGGGGTTGTGTACTTTTTAAAATAGGTAAATTATACGCCGTACTGTATGTAGTTTATGCGAGCAAATAAAAATTTAAGTATAAGACTAAAGTTGAGTTTAAAACGTGAAATGTATTAGTTAAACTTATTTACATATTATTTTAATGACGACCTTTCGAAAACCTTAACGTCGGGCTATGGTATTTGGCAGTACTTTAATACTAAAAAAATTAATGCAAAAATTATATCCGACCGGTAGAAGTGTTCGTTTGTATGAACACTTCTACCGGTGCTAACACTATCTGTAGCTGACGCGAGTAGTACACAACTAAGTGAGTAGGTAGTTGTGCACTACATTGTGTAGTACATAGTACTCACTACTTAACTAATGTATATCGCGTTTTAAACCGTTGAAGTGTTTTATTTAAATTTGGGTAGAATTCAATTATATTGGCTGTTTATTTATTTATTTTATAAATTTTTATAACACACATGTATAAATACATTGTTCCACTGCAAAGAGCTTATAAAGGTATTCATATTAAGTATATCCATGGTATAGTGTATTTTTATATGCTTATTTGAGTTTTATAGTTACGTTTGCATTTATAATATTAGTAAGTTCTACAAAAATTAATTACGATACATCCACACAACTTTACAATACAAAGGCGCATTCAAGGAAGCGAACCTGTGTTATAAGTGCTACTTTGCCGCAACACTCCCACTCCCACCTCACATCGCTCCCACTCACATTCTCAGTTCCACTCTCATTCCCATTCCCAAAAAGTTAAAAAAGAAAGTTTAATTGTTCTAGCATCAAAAATCACTAATTTCCATACAAACTGTCATCCCTCTTTTCAACCCTTAACATCCCTTTTTTTAAATTTAAATAAAACACTTTAACGGTTTAAAACGCGATATATTAGTTTGGAAATGATTTGGATTTGGAAATGATTTTTAACTTCGGCCCGACGTTTCGGCTGCTGCAAAACCGTTAAAGTGTTTTATTTAAATGTGTAGGTACTACTCGCGTAAACTATAGACAGTATCCCTTTTTGTCCGCTAAAAAGTAGCCTATGTCCTTTTTCAGGCCCTAGAATATCTGTGTACCAAATTCATTCAATTCATTTAAATCGGTTCATTACTTTCGGCGTGAAAGTCGGACAGACACACAGACAGAGTTACTTTCGCATTTATAATATTAGTAGTGATTAGTTAATCAGTCTCTATCGTGTTGAACAGATATTAATCTATTCTTCGTAGAAGCAAAGTTCGCGGCGATTATATCTGATGGTTGGTGGCAGGGGTTGGGGTTGTTCTCGTGTTATCATGCGGGACATGGACGCAAGATTAATGCGAGCCATCACAGCTGAAACCTTCATCGGTCTTGACAGCGCGTGTGTCTTACAATCTACGCCATTTTCACGATAAACGATGCGCTTCGCTGTTCTGCCGTTTTGCTTCTATTGAGATGAAGAAATCTCGCACGAATCGCGACATAAATAGAAAAAGCATTCATCGTTACCATCCACCAATGTTGATCTTTTGCAAAAAAATTACATCTATGGCGTTTGAATAGGTACCCCATTGAAGGTATATTAATAATAATTAACTTTTGGCATTCAAACTAGTACAGTAAAGTATGAATAAACCAGAAAAAATATGTAGATAAATAGAGAACAATACGAGAGAAGAAACAGTATGGACAGAAGAAATATGGAAAAAACGGGGGCAGTGATCCATCTTCATGACTTTCAAACCGGTTTGAAAACCTTTTCAAAACGGTTCAAGATATACATATGTATCAAAAAAAATCATTCCGCACTCTAAAGATTCTTTTGAAAGACGAATTTATATATTTAGTTTTACATATAAAACTTAATAGTATCCTCAAATATGTGTAATTTTCGCTAGTATTTAAATAGACCGCTTTAACGGTTTAAAACGTGAAATATTAATATATTTCACGTTTAACTAATGTTAAACTTGCTTAAACATTTATTTTTTACAGTCACCCGTGACCACGGCTGCTGCAAAGCTACTAAGTTTAACAAATCGTTAATGTGTTTTTTAATAGTATCTTATCTTAACCACATTAGGCGACAAAATTATCAAGACAATTTAATATAATTCCAACTTGCCAATAATAAACTCATTTTACGGTCAGCCTAAGCAGGGTCGCTAAATTGCCTTAAATTTAAATTAAACTAGAATCACAGTTTTATTAGCGTCATCAATCAAATGACGGTCTATCGGATACGATGCTCGTGGCTTAGGTTCAGGGATTATAGTGTTTAATGCGTCAGCAATATAGACTGAAATGGCATAATGCCGTTTATTTGGGCACCAGCCGAAAGTCAAATAAACAATCCGGCTCGTATAAATGGATATGAACTAGGATTTGACACGTGCGATTATAGGGTTGTCGCTATTTTATTTTCTTCGCAATCTGGGGATAGATAGGGGAGCTAGTAGACATTGAAAAGTATTACACGATTGAAGGAATCAATGGCAAAGTAGAAAACTCTAGCTTATTAACACTAAGTCTCTTCTTGCCAGTTCTTCTAGTTCCTTCTACGCTCCTTATTACTGATACTACTTACTACTCACGGATGCTTTGCAGCAGCCGTGGTCACGGGGAGACTGACCATGGCTGCTGCAAAGCATCCGTAACGTCGGGCCGGAGTTAAAAATCATTCCCAAATAATGTATCGTAATAATGTATGTAATAATGTAACTAATATATCGCGTTTTAAACCCTTAAAGTGTTTTATTTAAATGGTACTACTCGCGTAAACTACAGACAGTATTTATATATATACTGAATGGTTAAAGATACGCATTTTAAAAAAGAACTGACTTGTAATCGTCTTTCCAGGATTCTGTACTCCAAGTGTACCTTGTAATGGTACGAAACCATTCCCACGATCGACTCTCACTTGGTCATTTTATTTTAGACTAGCTGTTCCAGCGACTTCGTTCGCGAGAATCGTTATTTTGGGCATTCAAATTAGTTTTTGCTAACCCCGTTATCTTTATAAACTTAAGCTGTTAGCCACGAGATCGATCGCGTCACTTCCCGTTGCAAGTCAATCTTAAAAGATAGACATATAACGTCGCGGACTTTTTTTAGATCATTTAAAGAGAAACTATTTTTACATACAACATTTTAGGTATTTTGAACCGTTTTCGTAGCGTACGCATCTATAACCCGCAGAGATGACAAATTTGACCCGTTTTGTTCACATTTCCCGTTGTATTTTTTCTTTTATTAGTCACAGCGCGATGATTATAACCTCTAGCCTTTCTCGATAAATGCTCTAACCAATACAAAAATAATTTTTCAATTCGAACTCGTAGTTCCTAAGATGAGCGCGTTCAAACAAACAAATTCTTCAGCTTTATATATTAGTATAGATATTGCGATAAAATTAACCCAGCTTTTTAACAAATTGTTAAGAAGCTCTTTCGATCTGTTTCTGCTTTGGACAT